TGACTTAACTCCTTCCTCCCCCACCACTCCCTCAATTCATTTGGCAACCACGCTCTGCTCCGCTCTTTGGTTCTTGGCCGCTCCGCCCGCGCTCTCTCTATCTGTCGACGGCGAGCGGCGACTCCTTCTCCGGTCGATTCTCGACGCCAGTGTTCTTTTCCACTGGTTAGTCTCGACTCAATCCCCCCTCCCCCCACATCCGCCCGAGTAGTTCGTGCTCTGTTTCTTGACGCCATTAGTGGCGGGATGTTCGTCGTATTGGTCGCAGGTTAGAACAGACGAGGAATGCGCCCAATACGTTCAATTCATGGTGCATTTGCTATTTGTTAGTCCCTGTTTCACATGCACATCGTTTTAATGCTTAATTTGCCGTTTTTGATTTCGTGGGTAGTTGCCGTAATTTTTGAACTGATCCCTTCTGCTACGCGGCTTGATTCTGATTTCTAGGGTTTTCTCTAGATGCATAACCATTATATCTCCGTTCATGATTCGACGGCGTTATCCTATGATGATTTCTGCCGTTATTTTGGTCGCCGGTAGGGTTTGGTGCGGGGATTTTACAACGAATCTCCTCACTCTGTATCTATGTTGGGCTCCGTTTTATCATGCTCTTATGGTTGCAGTGAAGGCATTGAATTACCACCAGTATAATTAGGTTGCTGATGATAATCCCATACTGTTTGTGTGTTTTATATGCAGTTCATCTCGTTGTGTTTAGATTGTCATGATGGATTGTTTGTTCTAGCACTACCAGTGGTGTCTCGTTTCATGATGCATTTTGTGTTTCTAACTGATGGATGTGCCATCATTTAACTTACCTGAACTTTAATTGTGAATATTACCATCAGTGGTGTGAATAATTTATCAGGAGTCCACTGTAAAATTTATCATGTCACTGATTTTTTAATACTTAGTGATGTGATGTCCAATATATGTGTTTGTGTGTAAGTTGTTGCCATCCTTATTTTGCATAAGTTATCTTGCCTGATACATACATTTTATCGGTGTATCGTAAGCAAAAAAATCAGGTATTCAATATCTAGTAGAAGCAGACATGTCCTTTTTTTCATCCTTCTCTATTATGGATGAGTTATCTTGTTGTATGTTCACAAGTTACCAATGTATCATAAGAATATGTATGTGACTATTAATTCAACAGCTATGCATCCTTTATGCTCACTTTTTCTCTTTGTTATTCTTGTGTGTCAAGTCAAGATGCCAAGGAAGCGCAAATTAGATGATGACTTTGAGGAGGTGAACCCCTTAAAGAAGCATAAGCCTCCCGCAGATCGGAATAGGGCTTCTCCTAGTGCTCTTGTGACTGCCTGTAAGGATATGTCAGATGAGAGAATGGCCGCGATCGATGACATGGATTTCACTAGTCTGCGGAATATCAAGTGTGATAATCTGTTCAAATCGGCTTTCTCAATGGCTTGCTGGTCTATACGACCCTGATTCCCGTGAGGTTGTTGTACCCGGTCGCGGAAGGTTACCGGTCAGTGAAGAGTCTGTGCATCGTATAATGGGTGTGCCCCGAGGTGATATTGCGGTGGATTTCAAGGTTCCTACAGATGCAGAGCTTGAGCTTGCGGGAGATCTTTTTGGTGATCTTGGACATGCTCCTAAAACTATGGATGTATTAAACCTTATCCTGAGCACTAACCGTCATGACGACAATTTCAAGCGCTTGTGGCTTGTGCTTGCTGCCAGCACCGTGATGGCGCCGACGACTTCGAACAAGATCAGCACCAGATGGTATCCTATGTTGGTAAGAACATCTGGCTATCTTTCTAGTTCATGCTTTTTATCGCTTTTCTTTTCTGATTTTCTACCTGGTAATTTTTTGCTTCTTAGTCTGATGATTATGCACATATGCACTTTGATAACTTACCCTGATTTTTGGAGTGTGGTAACTTCCGTCCCTTTGATTTTCCTGTGATCTGAAGTGTGGTATTTATGTAGTAATGCACCTGATAACTTTATATGAAGGTGTAGTAATTATATAGTAATGCACCGGATAAATTTTTATGAGGGTGTAGTAATTACATAGTGATGCACATGATAACTTTTTTCTGATGGTGTGGTAATTATGTAGTAATGTGCCTGATAACTTTTTCTGAAAGTATGGTAATTATTTAGTAATGCACCTGATAATTTATGTATGCCTTGCAATATGGTAATTTTGACTTACTTCTCAATAATGTGGTAATTGTGTGCTTATGTACTTGGTGATTCAATGCTTTAACAGTGTTATAAGTATCTACTTATGTCCCCTGCTAACTTGTGTGCATACATTCCTCTAGGTTTCATGTGCTTTCTTTTTTTTCGCAGCAAAATATTGGCAATGTAAAAAACCTCAACTGGTGCAAATTTATTGCGGATCAGCTTCACAAAGCCCTTTCAAAAGGAAAGCCTACGACGGGTTGCCTCATATTCTACAATGTTAGTCCCCCTATTCTTTTTTTGTTCCCATTATATTTGGATTGTACGTCTTATTCCGCCAAACAGCTAGATTGTAACGACCTTTTCTATTTTTCCAGCTTCTGTATATAGATGATATTGACTTAACTGGCCTTGATATCATATTGCCTAATGGTCCTTTTGCAATTAATCCGTGGACGAATGAGTTGGCATCGAAAGTTCTCCGGATGGATGTCCAGAGGGACAAGCTTTCTTATGGGAAATTACCGGTGATTTCCCATTCGTCATTTTTCTTACCTTCTATGTATTGCCATCTTTTTTATCAAGATCTTAATTTTTTATCATATTTTTTTCAGCTTAAGCCCCAATATGGTCAAGACTATTGCTTGTTTGGTGGTTTACAAGGTCTAGATAAATTCATGCGTGTTCATGCACCGCAAAACTGTTCTGAACAGGTATTTTTAATCATTTTAGTGCGTTTGGGTATTTTTGTTTTCCTTTTCCTGGTAAATATTGTTATAAAGACCTGGTAACTTGTTCTGTTTTTAGGATGGTGACTTTTTTTTATTTTTTTAGATTCTCACTTTGGAATAACTTCATTTTAACTTATCTTTGTGTGGTATTTTTAGTTGTTTTTGCATGGTACTTAATGTCTCTCACAACCTGATTATTTGTTTTTTCATTCGTGATTTTCTATCAGAAACTTGCTAAAGCTTCTGCTATTGTGGGTCGTTTTTCGTCTGGCATGGTTGGCCTCCTGGGTGGTCTTGTTAACGAGTTCATGTCCTTGGATGACGAAGACAGCTCATGTATGTCCCATGTGTTAGAGAACCAACTAAAGGGTTTATCTTCTGCTGCTGGGAAGACTGTCGAGAAGACTGCAAGCACCCGTCCTGCATCCCGCTCGCGTGAAGTAAAAGATACCGGCAAGCAAGCTGTCGAAGTTTCAGATTCTGATCATGAGGATAGTGATGGTGGCGGTGATGGTCACTCTGACGAAGATCTAGATTTTCACGTTCATTACCATGGTTCTTCAGGTGGGCCGAACGCCCATGAGGCTTCAGGTAGTGGGGGTAGTGCTGGACCGAATGCCCATGATGCTTCAGGTAGTGGCGCAGCGAATGCAGATGTGGGTGCAACCATGTTTGCAACTGCCAATGTGTCGGTAAGGTCAGCCGGAATTGATGCAACTGCTACTACAGGAACCGATCAGCCTCTCGAGTCTCAGATTATGCTTAATGCACGTTCCGGGAATGTATCTAGTGATGGATTGCATAACCAGCCAGATATGACGGATACTCAAAACGAGGCTGTTGTTGATGCTTCTGTGAAGAGGTGCAGTTCTTCTCTCGTCCGTAACTTGGAAAAGCAATATTTCAGGTGTCGCAAGAAATTACGCCTACCTTCTCCGCCCATGGCCACTGGTACAACTGTTTCTAACCAGCCGTTGTTGGATGATACACATCGTTCTATCAAGGCAATAGTCATCAATGAGCTTGGCATTGTAGGCCCTGATAAGGGCACTAACTCAGTAATTGCCAATCCCACGCGGAAGAAGCAACATCCTCGCAAGTGAGTTTCTTATCATCTGCTAGTTGATTTCTTTTTATTTTCATTTGTTATATTGCATTTCTTAGCTGGTAACTTCTGTCAATATAAGCTGGTAACTAATGTTATATTTTAGCTGTTGTGTGCAAATATAATCTGATAACTAATGTTAATATAAGCTGGTAACTAATGTTTTTTATAAGTTGGTGATGTCCATGTTTATTTTTCTTTGTGTACATACTTACTTATTGTTACTCTTTTGTGTTATCACTTTTCCTAGCACCTAGCTTCTGATAATTAGAAGTAAATATGTCTGGATAGTTTCTATTCTTTATCAAGCTTGTGTTTTTTTCTAGAAAGGATAGTAATTATATCATGGTAAGGCTGATAACTTTCAGTAGCTATTTTCACGATAATAACTTCAGTTTTTTATTTGAACAATATGTAGTTTAACTTTGTTTACATGATAATTTTAGTAGTTATATGCTGGTAAGCATGTGTTATTTGTCTACGGTAACATTTTTCTCACGTGCACTATATCCTTTTTCAAATAATAACTTATCAGGTGTTCGAATGCTCCATCTATTAGTGTTGCCGACCTTCAGCAAACGCGGTCTAGCAGTGTGGGTGTCACGTCTGAGGCGATACCTATTAATCCTGCGCGTTCTTCGGCAGATGTTGACTCGTTTGAAACGTCACGCAGGTGATTATGAATGTTATTTTTCCTTGCTATATGATATCTAAATGATTTTCTCTGTTTGTTTATTTTTTAGTTGTAAATTAGGTGAATATATACCGATAATTTAACTCTTTTATGCGTGGCATCATAATCTGTATGGGAATGACTGGTAGTTTTTATAGTCAAAGCTCTTACAATATTTACTGTTTTTTTAGCATGATAAATTTGTTGGTAACTTTGTTATCTTCATAGTTACCATCTTCATTAATGATTCGTGACGATGTTGATTTTTTGCATTATGTGGATAAATATGGCCCTAAGCTGTCAAATAATTTGAATACAAGCTGGTAACTAAAGTTATTTTTTAGCTGTTAACTTCTGTCAATATAAGCTGGTAACTAATGTTATTTTTAGTTGTTGTATGCAAATATAATCTGATAACTAATGATAATATAAGCTGGTAACTACTGTTTTTATAAGCTGTTGATGTCCATGTTTATTTTTCTTTGTGTGCAGCAAGAAAACCAAGATTACTGTGAGGAAGGTTAAGAAGTCTTCTACACTTGCAGTTGCAACTAGGTCTTCTCCTCGTTTTGCTCCCAAGGACGCGAAAGATGATTTTGAAGACTTCCCCGTGGTCAGTTCTCCAAAGTTGTTGTGCAAGATAATGCCCCTGTGAGGAATTCACCAGATGCTGGTTTTGGAGCTGTGGATGAGCTCGCGGCAGCAGCCACTATTACTCAAGTGGTAGAAGAAATTGCCAATGTTGTTATTGGCACTGAAGCTGAAACTTCTGCTGATCAACCTAAATGAATTGCTCCTCCAATGAGCGCTGTTGTAGCTGAAACTTCTGCTGATCAACCTCAAGGAATTGCTCCTTCAACGAGCGCTGCCGTAGCTGAAACTTCTGCTCATCAAGTTCAAGGAATTGCTCCTCCAATGACCGCTGCTGTAGCTGAAGATGACCAAGCTCCTGTCAAAATACCACGTGTTGTTCAAGCTCAAGTTGAATCTTCCCAATCCAATGTGGCAGAACCAGTTGAAACTGAAGATGCAGTGTTTGTTTAAGCTCAACCTGGGGATGACCAAGTCGCTGCCCAATAATTCAGCATCATTGCAGATGTAGAAGATGTTGTTGTTGATAGGGCCTACTGGGATTTCACCCCACCATCTTGCTCTCTTGGCCTAGATTTTGGCCCCACACCGCCTGGACCAGATATTATTATGACGACCGCAGTTCCAGCTGCAGTACCAACACCGCCCCCAACGGTTGTTTCGACAACTCAAGCACCAGCAGTGGCCCCAACAGTTAACAATGCTCCCCAAGACCAAGCAGCAGCACCCCCAATTGATCATATGGCGGCAGCACCACGAGATTTAAAGAATGTAGAAGATAATCCTATTGACTCCAATCCGTTTTCAGGATCTGAGCCTGCTGACCTTGGTAAGTGAAGGCATATACGTGTCGTCGCTTTATCACAAAAGAGTGATAGGATGGATGTCTGCTTTTTGAAGACCTTTTTTACGCTTTTAGTTTGATCCTTGTGTGTATATGCATGCTCT